CTTAATTTCTATGCCATGAAAGGCAAAGTTATACTTCAGGGCAAAATTAGTAGATGTAACTTTTCTTATTAACCAAATCTAACAATTTTTGGCAGTTTCTCACATGCAATAGACCTCCTAAATAAATGAATGGTAGTAACTATTTTTAAATATATTCTAAAACTGAAATGATTATGTGTCATTTCAGACTAAGTTCTAGTTTCTTTGTAATGAGTCGCTGTTAAAATCAGTCATTTTAACTGATTCTATCTGATTCTCTGAAAATAGAACCACAAAAGGCTTTGCAACAGGTATATTATTTATGAGTACACAAAGGCTTTTGTTGTAAAAATTAATTATGGGCCAAGAAATTCTATTTGCTTTCTGCTTCATATTCTTAGCTAAACACAAGCCAACGTAATGGCACAGCCACCAGTGTCCAAACTGTTTATTTCTCTCAGGATCAAAATTTAAACAAAAGCCACTTACAATAGCAGCATAGGCAGAACGGAAGTTATTAGAAGTCAAGACCAGAAATGAGTGGTGCTTACAAATGGCACACAGAATCCAGTATTAGGCAAGAAAATGATTCCTGTCTGTTCCTTATGCAGAAGTACCAATATCAAGGTACAAATAGATGAGTGTTTAGCCCATCTGTAAGAGTTAATGAAAAATAATGACAATAAGTGGGTTGGGTGCACTAATTAGTCTAATTACAGGGGTGATGAGCAAGGCAAAATGGAGGGGTTGAAACAAAATGAGCTCTATTCCAAACTGAGCTCTATCCTGATGTCGTTTGTAGCTCATCAAACTGTAACAACTCTGCTCTTGACTCTAGTCTCCTCAGCATGCAGGGAATGCTATTGCTGTCATCCTTCTCTTCACAGTCTTTCCTGTCAAATTATCGGTTACTCTCTCTGGCCCAGGTCTATCCTATTCTCTTCTGTTCTTTTGATTATTTTTCCTTTCTTTCCCCCCTTAATTTTACAGGATTAGTTTCTGACCTGCAGTTATCTCTATCAGCTTTTAAACTGACAGTACTCGGTGACCCTGACTACAGAGGGTCTCACAAGAATGGTTTTCTATCACTGTTAGATTCATTCTTTTCTTCATGTCTCCTTTGTCTACTTTGATCTTGAATTGTGTTCCCTGCTTTGATGTTGATTCCTAGTCAATGATCTCATTTCTTTATCTGTTGTCTGTCTTTATTTTGTCTTTTGCCAGGCCCTTCCCTAACATCTTCTTTGGGTGACCACAACCCTGGCATGAGGACACATCTGGTTCCTCCTGACTTGAGTCCAAATCATGTCTCACCTTGCCCCTAAAATGGGTTAATTCTTCAATTCTTGTGGTTCACATATTCCGACTCATCCTAAGTGCTCTATCTGATTCTTCCCTCTGTCCTTTAAACCTCATTTTTCATGTTTAGTTTCCTTATCCTTTGATTACAGTCCATTTAAGAACATAGGACAGGGTCACACAAGTCATCAAATCCATTCCTCCAGCCTTCTGCAGGCAACTTTGTCATGGAATTACTTTCATAAAACTGCCAAGTTCTACTTTTAAATCATTTATTTTTCACCTCTTCTCTCCTAACAGAAGGCTGGTTCCATACCTTATGATTAGAAATCATCTTCCATTTTTCCAGTCTACACTGATTTGTATCTCGCTTGTGCTCTTTTCCTTTTGTGACAATTCCATCCACGAAGATTCCTGATATGCTTAGAACTGTCTCAGATCTTATTTTCCTAGGTTAAACAAATTCAACCCTTCTAATCTAGTGTCTCAGATAAGCTTTCCATTCCCCAGAGGCCTCTGTTCTGTTAAAGTCTGAAAAATTCTTCTTGAACAGGCATGATCATACTTCCCTATGACATCCTAGGTGGGATACAACAGTATTAATTTTTATATCTTCACTGGAAATATTTTCCATGATTCTAGACTTTTTGTATTCTAGGCTGTACTTCCTTATTTCATAGCTTCATCTCTCTGGTGACTCAAAAATGCCTTGTGACTTCCACCCAGTTATTTGAGGTTATATTCGTTTTTGTTGATTTTCATAAGAAACTGTTACTGTTAGCCCATAATGGCATGACCCAGGACCTTCTAATATTTAGGAACTTCTAATTTTCCATATTTGAGTAATTGAGAATAAAAACTGTATAAATTCACAATGTATATTGGTATACATAAATGTATACATTTATAAAATATACATTGGTCCTCCCAAATCTTATTTTATCACCAAAAATAATTTAAAAACACCTGTCTTTTATGCAAAGGTCTTGAAAGTAGTAAGTCATATTGGTTCCCAGACGAGTCCTTGTCTCATTTTACTCACATCCTCCTTTCAGCCTAGCAGTTCTGTCCTCAGTACACACGATCACTGTTGTCCTTTTAGCCACTGCTATAGCTGAAAAGCTTATTATCTAGTTTGCCATGACCCTGAGTGCAGCTATTGGCTCCGCAGCCTAGTCTTCTCACCTATGGGTTTGACTGCCTTTGCTCAAGGCCACCTCTGATCTGGCACAGCCATGAAACCTTGTGTCAGGCAGTGGTTACGTATTTGATGTGTGAGAAAGAGCTTGGAGAAACCTTGTTGGTTTCCCCCTTCATTTAAGGAGTAAATGCTGCATTTAAGCTCAAGCCCCTGCCCTCAGACTGTTTTACATTGCAGTTACATCTATGCCTCGCTTTGCACCTTACTGATCCTGACTGGTTTGCAGACTTGACCTCCTGGCTTGACCTCAGATCTGTCTTCTCCCTATGAACCTGTCTGGAGATCTGTAACTTCTTTTGATCCTGGTTATCACCCCCAGATCTGCTCCTCTGGGTACTGTGGAATCAAGCCCTGGTGTTAAGGCCACTGCCCTGCCTGCCTCAGTGGTGTCACTTCAGCTTCCAACTTGATTCTCCTTTCGAGGCAGCCCCCTCTTGTTGCTTCTTGACACAGTTTGGCATTTTATACTATGAAATTATTTCCTTTGGATCAGAGGTGAAAAATCACTGAATAAGTCAGTAGGTCATCCTGGCATATCTTGCCTCTTAGTGTCCTCAAACTATTAAAGTTTAGAGCTCTGGTGCACAGTGAGTCAGCATGGGCTCTAATGAGTGACGGTATTACTTGGGTACACCAGCAGTGTTGCTGAACTGAAACAAGGCTTCTCACAACACCTTCTCACAGTTAAAGATTACACAGGCTCAACAGCAGGAAAAGCTGGTTCAAATAAAAGCTCAGGTAAATAACATGTTGAACATGTATTTAATATTGGTGTAATACTAATATTTCGAGAACTAGAGTCCCTACATCCAATGATCTGCTGTTGATCTTAAATTTAGAAGTCATGGAGACATTTTGCAGATACCTCAGATCTAATGAGACCTTTATACAAAGCAGCAAAGGTTTCTGTCTTCAGGTCTCACTTTCAGTTTCTACAATCTGCCTCAAATCTCATGCACAGCACTCGCACATTTTGGAGCCCTGGAAAGAGTTTCTTCAGCTGGAGGAATATGCAACTCATGCTGATATGGCTTTTATTCAGTGGGTGATATCATGTTTGACCAAATTCAACCAGTAAATGTCCTTTTAGGATCAAACCAATGTTGATGTAGTGAGATCCCTACCTATGAAACTGATACTGAATTCTCCAAGTTACTGGCATACACTTGGGGTGAAGTGTTTTTAACTTATTTGTTGTACTTAACAATTCCCTAGCTTACTCCTCTTGCATATATGCCCAATTCCTTTCAGTCAAAATTTTTGCATGAAGGAAATTGCAGAGGAGAAGCAGTCAGAATAAAGTAGCATCTGTTACTGCTTTTGGGGAAACACAACACTTTAGGGACTAAATAGTGATAGTGATAAAACTGTGGAGAGAGTCATAAACACCGTCTCCCTCTCTGTCCCTCTCAGCTCCCTGACTATGTATACTTTCACAACAAAGCAAATAGTTGACAAGATGAAAACCATGAGATGAACCTTGATCTTGGGTTTTCCAGTAAAAAGTGCAGAAGACCACACACACATCATCTCTTGGCAAGAGGACTGGAGTATTTTCCATTGACTTACGAGTGACAAATGACAGAGTCATACAAGAGCATTATTGTTGCTGCCCTGTGCCGGGAAAGCAGTTTCCCAAGGGCCGTGGAAGCAATGAGTGTCCAATAACAGGACTCCCAGAAGCAGAGTCCAGGCTCGAGGCTGTTCAGGGTGAAACCTCAGAAGTGAGCAGTCACTCTGAAGAGAAAGAACAAGTCAGCTCAGAGTAGGATGACAGGGATAGAAACAAATACGCTGCGCAGTTGGATGCAACAGTCTATTATACGCAAAATGCTGCGTTCCTTGAACTTTTTTTTTAAAGCACTATTTATTTCAGGAAAACCATGCAACAGATTTTAATCAACACTTTATTTTATTGCAACACTAATTTTTCCTTTATGCAGTGATATAGATCTTTTTTCTCATCATACGTGGATAGCAATGACATACTACTCCCAGGCACAGCAGGAAAAATGTGTTTGACTCATTTGCAATCCTCGTTTCCTGAATGCCTTCCCAGAAAGTTCCCCCACCCCCCCGCAGCACAGGTATTTTTTCTCTCCCTCAGATAACCCGATAAATACTTGGAATGGCGAGGACACTTCCAGGCGGTGTTACTTCCCAACTGGCGGGAGCGGCCGTCGGGCGGGCACGTGCTGCCTTCCTCGCGCCCGGGCGCCTCGTGCCCATCCCGGCGCTCCAGCCGCGTGCTCCCCTATCCCGGCGCCTTCACGGCGCTCCCGGCTCGCGGGGCTCGCGGCCCCTTCCCGGTGCGCGCCCCTTCCCGCGGGAGCAGCGCTCGGTCCTCCGGCCCCTCAGTGCCCACCGGCCCCTCTCGCCCCCCGGCCGCCCCGGGAGCCGCGGCCCGGCGGCGGGGCGGGGTGTGTGTATGTGTGCGGGGGCGGGGGGGGGACAGGGGTGTGTCCTGCTCCCTGCCCGGGACACCGGGGTCTCCTCTCCCGGGCGGCCGCGGCTCACTCGCCCGGCTGTCCCGCGGCGGGACGGGTCGGCAGCTCCGCTGCCCGGGAGCCATGGCACGGGGAAGTTTGCCGCTCCTTCTGCTCCTGGCGGTGCTCGGCAGCCGAGGCCAGTCGCCGTCGCCGCCGCCGCCGCCGCAGAGAGGTACAGGGGAGCGGGGAGCCCGTCCGTGCCTCACCCGCCCGGCCGGGGCCGCGGCGGACGAGGAAGGGGAGGCGACCTTGCCACCAGCTCGGGAGCCCTTGTGGTGACGGGAGGGCCGGGGGGACGGAGACCGAGCGTGAGGAATAGCCCCCAGGCTGTAGAGGGGACCTCGGTGGCCGGGCCGAGGAGGGGCTGTCGCGGGCGCTGCTGCCGCCGTCCCGCGGGGCGGTCGGCGGGAGCAGCGCTTCAGCCCCGGCACATCCCGCATCCCGCGGCGCTTCCCGGTACCGCACACACGCGCTTGATGTCGCGGCTCGGAGCAGCGCAGTTGGGCTGCGCTGTGACTGAACGCGGAGGGGGGCCAAATCACTGTCGCTATAGTTGAGGGGCGGCTGGAGGATGTGTCCTTGTTCCCCAAGAGCCGCACGGTCTTTACGGGCTGATCTGCTGGCAGCCCTCTTTCACCCGGGATGTGTCCGTCTTTTGACATCTCTGTGGTGGGGGAAGCCCAGCAATCTGTGTTGAAAGCCCGGGCTGCTTTTATTTCAGGTGACAATTTGATGCTCTTATCCCGGTGTTAAAAACTAACCACCACTGGAATGGGGACAGAATCAATTGTATCCTGCGTGGGTAGTCAGTGTCTTACACATGCCATCACCTTCCATTATACAATTCCTAATATTCCATATTAGGTGTGTTGACACTATGGGGGTTTTGTTTGTTTGTTTGTTGAGTTGCTGTTCTATGGAAAGATCAAAAAGGGTGTTGTACAGGTATGGGAGAAATAAACTTTATTCAATTTCTCGGGTCTCATAGGAAATCCTTAAAAACATTGTTCAGCTCACAGTATTCCTTTTGGTGCTGGCATTTGCTGCTCTTTACATTTTTAGCCTTGGTGAAATGAATTCAGTGAGGAGATACTGTGGGTGTGTCAAAATAAAACTAATTAAAGCCACTGTATTAACAGCTAGCTTCCCTTTGACCCTGATGTCACACTGTAGGCTGAACACTCTGGGTTAGGAATTTTTACAGTTTAGGATTTACTTTGGAAAACATGGTGTACTGACACTTCATGAGAAAACATATCTCAAACAGCTGACTCCTTAATATGAATTTTACCATGTGAAGATAAAAGATTGTTGATCAAGTATCTGCGCAGATAAAAACTCATCCACAATTAGACTGTGTTTAGATGATGACTTATTGGGAAACATTGAAGGCCGAGATTTTATAAGTAGAGAATTTAAAATATAGTACCTTTCCTCTTGCTATTTTTTTCCTTTTTTTTTTTTTTTTTTTTTGCCTGCCACCTAATCCACTTTTTTCAGCTAGAAAAATAGTGATCTGACATTTCTTTTAGTATTCTCTCACTCACACACACACACAGATACTTTTGGAGAAAATCCTTTTCTTTATGCAGTACTGTTTTTTTAACCTCTGCAGTGAAGGGATGTGTTCATTATTTTCCTTTTAAATTAGAAGTGGGTGTCTTTGGCATTTATCTGCTGCATCACTGATACTATGTTATAACTGAGTTCTAGTAATCCAGTGGTGAACACTACAACTTTTAATGAAATGTTAATGTGGAGATGAGACCTTCTAAACTTCACAGTTGAATTCAAGTGCTGACCTGTCAAATTTTTATGCCATTCACTGTCTTCAAAATTTCTAAGATCTGTTGCAGCTGCTAGGAGGTGCTAGCACTATGTAGATGTCACTGTGTAGCTCGGGCAAAGAGGTAATGAACTCCTCTCTAATGCAAAAAGTTTGAAAAGTCTGACTTCACTGGAGTCTCAAGGGATTTTTAGCAAGTACAAGAATGTTACTGGATCCATGGTTTATATATTTAGACTTACAACTTTTGTTTTTCCACTTAATAGTTATTTGGTAATAACCATAACATTGGATGGTAAGTATTGCCTCACTAATTGTTAGCATCAGTCGGATGTCTGCGGAGAAAATTATGTAACAGAGCTGCAATGCTTTGAAAAACAGTATTTGAGACATGACAATGAATTCCCATGTTGTTTTTTAGAACAGAACAGTTCAAGAACATTTTGCACCTCAAAGATGAGAACAGTTTGTATTTCTTTTCTTGTTGCTGTTCTTGTTGTTGTTACATTTTTTTCCCCCCATTTTAAAATTGTTAAAAGATTTACTGCGGTCAGAAACCTGGAGTCAATTTTAAGTTTTTTGGTTTGGGTTTGGGTTATTTTTTCAGCTACACATGTTATTAGTTCTTTTGTTGTTTGAACACTTAGTAGTCATTTCTGCTATGGTTGAACCCCAGCCATTGACCAAGCACCACGCAGCCCCTTACTCACTCCCTCTGCAGTGGGATGAGGGAGAAAATCAGAAAAGTTAAAGCTATAAAACTTGTGGGTTGAGATAAAGACAGGAAATGTGAAAACCAGGCACGCAAACAAAGCAAAACAAGGAATTAATTCACTGCTTCCCATGGGCAGGCAGGTGTTCAGCCATCTCCTGGAAAGCAAGGCCTCATCATGCATAACTATTACTTGGGAAGACAAATGCCATCACTCCAGATGTCCCACCCTTCCAACTTCCGCCCCCAGTTTATATACTGATCAGGATGTCATATGGTATGAAATATCCTTTTGGTCAGTTTGAGTCACCCGTCCTGACTGTGTCTTCTCCCAACCTCCCATGCTCCCCCAGTCTCCTCACCAGCGTGGCAGTATGAAAAGCAAAAAAGGCCTCGGCTCTGTGTAAGCACTGCTCAGCAATAACAAAAACATCTCTATATGATCACTGCTGTGTTCAGCACAAATCCAAAACACAGTCCAATACCAGTCACTGTGAAGAAAATTAACTCTACCCTAGCCGAAACAAGCACAATTTCTCAGGAAACAGAAGAATCAGAACCAGAAAGGCATGTCCATTCTGTGACAGTGTTTCTTAATGGTATGCATAACTTGAAGTCTTACTGAAGTGCTATGTAATGTTCCTTTGAATCTTGGACCTTGGTTCATCCTCTTCCCTGTGGAATATGAGAAAATCAAAATAGTAGTTTAGAAAGTAATGAAAAACTTGCTTCTGATCTTGAACTCATGGTTTTACTAAAAGGTCTGTGTGTCTGTCATTAGACAGAATGAAAGCTATTTGTCTGTGAAAGGTGTGAAGAGTAGGGACAGGGCTAAGGAACATACACTGCGCAGTAACTCGATCTGTGGTGCCAGCTGCTGACATCAGTGGAGATAATTCATGGACTACAGGTGCTTTTAGCATGCGTGGAAGGAAGTGCAAGTTGACTCCATGAGGTGATGTATATATGATGCTTATAATGTCAAAGTGAAATTTCTCATCCAGAACTGAGGAATGAAATCAGCCTAGTGTTAACAGAGTATGACTAGTGTCAGTCTCTTAGGCAATGGATGGTGGCAGGTTGGTCAATAATTTTGTCTGTTTGTAGGAGTGGGTTTTTTAAGAGAGTTTCCAGGGAGTTTAGTTCAAAACTGTATTCTCCCTGTTATCTCATGGAAATGAGGAGTTACAAGATTCTTTCCCACCTACAAGCATGTGTGCATATTGTATTCTGTACTCTGAAAAGTCAAGAGAGAAGGCTAATGGGACATAATTTTATTGTTTCATGGCAAATCCATGACAATATACTAAGAATGAAGAATGTTTTGTAGACTTAGATTCTCTATTTCCGGAGACAAAAAAGATCTAGATGCTTTGTTAATGAATTCTGGCATAGCAAAAGTCAAGTTTCCTTTTTCTTCATAGGGACCACTTTGAAGTAAGGTCAGTTTCAAAAAAAATGACCAAGACTACCCAGCTGTAATCTTGAAATGGAGAGCATTTCCATAATGGATAATGGCATTTAAACATACAAAACATTCTACTGACTTTATTTGGAGAACAGAGCTTGTAAAAGATTTAGGTGGTAAATTTGCATTCTACTTTCCTGAAAAAACAAGGCTTAGATGATTGTTTATCAGCTTGTTCTCAACCTAAATAAATTTTGAATCTGTTGTCCAATATCAGCAAATATGAAAACAATATTAAAATCTTTAAGATACAATAAAACAATGTGAAAATCTTTAAGATGCAATTACTGAAAATCCATGGCTCTTTGAGAGAAAGAGTCACAAAGTACTTTATCTTTTGTGAGAAGAAAGGTAGAATTTAGCCATTATCCAATCCATTCAGTCTGTGTAAGTCAACGTGTGGAGCGTAGGCATCTTACAATGTGCAAAATTCTGTGTATCTTTTTTATTTTTAAATAGGAGTTCTCTAATCAAGTTTCCAGATTTTATCACAGGTAACAAGCCTTGGTCACTGAAGGCATACTGCAGTATAGTACGTTCAATGTGTCTTCTTTTTACTGTAATTCTATATGCAACTAAACGTTTTGGCAGATAAATTTTTGGTGATTTGGAAATTATGATTTCTGTTTCTTTTTTATTGGTATTTATTTAAATGTATGTGTAAAAGACCATTAGTTCTAGCAACTGTTTTAGCATTACTTAGTGCTGCCTGATTAATAGGGATTAACTAGACCCAAAATTTGGGCAAATGCTGCTTTCAAATATGTGTTGTGATTACATGTAACTTTTTACTTCAAAGCTGTTGTCCATATGACTTTCTGATAGTTTAATCACAGGCTGAGAAAATGAAAGCAGAGGGAATTAATATATGTTTCAGGTTTAGAATGTGAGAAAGGAAAACATAGTAGTTAAGGGCCAGCCTAAGGTATTAGAAATAGGTAGAATTTTCCAGACTGACTGGAGACATGAATATGTGAGTTTTTTGTGTACTTGCTTCAACTAGAAATAACCACAGCCAAACTGAATGAGGTAGGCCTTGTACAAGAATGTGTGAATTTTTCCAAGCAACAATTAGGAACATAAGATGATAAGATGGACTTTATGTTTAACTCCCTTATTATTAATTTTTCCTCCAAGTTTTTTATATGAGTCATTCTTATTAGTCTTGAAATACTAAAGTCAGAACAGGGGTTCTTTAACCTGTTCCAGAAATCCACTTTAAAATAATACAGCAAACAATCATTTTTAATTAATTCAGTCTGGAGGAAGGAATCCACCCACACATGTTCTAATTTCTTATCCAGCTACTTGGACTGACAGTTTTTTGAGATTATAGTATTTTGAAATAAGAGGCAGCATAAATTCCTGGTGCAGGGTTGCTTTTTCTTTTCTTCTCTGTTTTATTTTTTTCTTTTTTTTTTTTTTTTTCCCCTCTAGAAGTCCAGATTCCTTATATTTGTAGGTCAGGAATGGTGATAGGACACAAATACATGCAAATGTGAACTGACATGCATGTTTGATTATCTCCTTTCCTTTCCCAACTTTTTTAAGAACCCCTTAATTACTGGGTATTTTTCTTCTGAGTAAGGGTTCTGTCTAGAATATGAGAGGTCATTATGACACTCACTTGGGCTACAGTAACAATAATACAAACCAATCTTCCTTACATATGTAAAATGCAGACCTATATGTTATG